ACAAGGATGGCAATGATGGAACCGCTTCTGTCATTGGGACCATTTTAGAGGACTGAAATTCTGGAAGATCTGAGGCACAAGGAACCTTGCAGTTCCTTGGCAGCCTGAAATTGGTCACCCTCGGCAATGAACCTGATGGTGATGATGTCATCGGTGGTGGTTCATCAGATCGAGCAAATTGCACGCAAAGCACACAAGGGATTGTGAGAGCCGCTGTGTGTTTCAGCCTGCACCTGACTTTGCCATCTTGCCACATCTCACAGACCGGCTTACAGCCACAAGCAGGATGAACAAGGCGAAGGAAGCGAGCAGAACAAGACCCATTCCTAGCCACACTAAGGCGGACACGATTGGTCAGTGTCAGCGGTGCCATCAGAAATTTTGGATTTCTAAAGCACGCAACCTTTACCCAGGTTGTGCCCAACAGTGGTTTCCATAACAGTGGTGCCAATGATCCTGTCCGGAACAGCAACAACATGTTGGATTTGTCAACCTGGCACGTTGGAAGAGAAGGTTTCACAAAAACCTGGAAGGAATCCCATTGAGCAATCCGAAACACATAAGCTTTCCTGCCGGATATGCAAAAACCTTGTGCAGGCTTTTGTTGGCAAACACCATGATCGAATTCAACAGGGCAACTGGATTGACTGGACCAAGAACACCTTGGGCAGACAAAACGAACATGATGCAGGAGCCAAGCTAACACTGTCTCTGGCAGCCGCTTCCAACAATGGGACTTGGTCGCCAATGGTGGTAAGGTTGATGGCGGGGACAAGGTTGGTAATTTGCAAGGTCTAACAGACGGTAGCAAACCGATGGAACAATAAGCAACCGAGTTGTTGCCAACCATTAGCGCCAACGTCGGAAGTTTGTGGGAAATTGAATTCCGCGCAACCTTTCCCGACCGCGCATCAACATCGACAACATTCTTTCGTTTCGGGAAGCGAACGGAATGAACAAGATGAAGGGAACGAACAGAACGCGGACGTCGAGCTCGAGCTGCTCGGGCTGCACTGGCTGCCGTCCGCATTGGCCACACCCGCAACAACGGCAGCAACGGCAGCAATCGCGGTGGAAATGGCGAAAGCGGCAGCAACGATGTAATTGCTTTCGCAATCAAGACCGCTGCGGCAGATGGAATTTTGTCGGCTGAGATCGCCGAACGGGCGACGAGCAGCGGCGGCGGCGGCGGCAACAAGGATGGCATCGCCAACGAAATCATTTCTGCGAACGATACGGCCATGGCGGATGGAATTTTGTCGGCTGAGGTCGTCGAACGAGCGAAGAG